TAACATTTTGTTCTGTTCTGTGTGATTTCTGCTGTCAGCTTGTTTCCAAGAATAGGCCTACATAATGTTAATCAAGGCTTCACTTTAAATCCTTAAAATAAATAAAATGTCTGCAATCGTTTAACCATTACTTGTCATGCAATGTTTACTTTGTTGCCATGGGCCACAAAAGGCATTTTCTCCGACATGCTGTGACTGACAATAGAACTATAAAAAACACAACATAATTACGTAATGAAACAATTTTATTTGTGCGCTGTAATCAAAATATTCCAAATCCATACAACTGCGAGGAACAGACCCAAATCCTTTATTCGGCGATTCATCTCCATCCTGAGCAGCGCGTTTAACGACCGTAAGCATCAAAGCCCATGCTGACTGATGCGCTCTTTACAGTGTTGCCAACTAATTTTCAGGGGAAGTTGCTAAAGGAAGGTCGATTTGTTGCTAAATGATGTTGTGATGTCATTGCACGATGACGACATTACATAATCACGACACAAAATTGTGTCACTACATTAAATCACACAATTTTTTTATTTAGATTTGTTCGTAAAATAATATAAATTCATAATATAATATGTGTGGCACCAGCGTAATATACAGTAAATAAATCAATAATTCCACTGCTCTGTTGTCTCCTCTGAGGCTGGGACTCTAAATAGTGTTCTGTGCTCATCAGTGCAGCCAAAGACAGAACAGTTAGCATGTTTTGCTCAAACGTTCGTCATGGCATTAGAGCTGGTACACCGTTGTCGCTTGCGAAATGAAATGACGGCGCCGTGAGTGGAAATGTACAGATTTGCAACGTCACTAGGGGAGTGAAATCAGACGCACTCGTTTTTTCAGACGCTTGCTGAAAAAGGCTTAAAACAAAGTTACTGGATTAATCTTTTCATATTCCTTGGTTGGTAGATGCACCGGGCACCTGACTATAGCACTTAAAACCTGGAAAAGTCATATTTTCATGATATGTCACCTTTACATGTTTTTTGTTCCCACTTGTTTGCACACATGAAGTATCATTAACCTAAATTGATATATGAATATACGACAAGCCCCCTCTCCCAGATATTTTGATCAGTAGGATAATGTAGTATAACATTTTTAAATATAAATTAAAATTACAAAATAAACATTCACCAATCAGTGCTTTTTACTTTTAATACTTAAAGCTGCAGTCCGTAAGTTTTGGCTCTGTGTTGCCAGTTTGTCGCCGTCTGTTTGAAACCTGCAATTGTTATTTGTGGAATTATTATCTAAACATGGCTTGTGCATCGGCATAGCTCCTCAGTGTGGATGAATCTTAATATTTTGAGGAGTATGTGGCGGCTGTCAGTCACCACACCAGTGTGGCTACTGTACTTCGGAATTACAGATTCTATGTCTTGGAAGTATGACCCAAATACAAAGTTTAACCAGAAATTGTCATCTGAAAAAGTAAGTAACATGTCTGCCACTTTTGTTCTGACCAACTGAAAAAAAAGAAAAGAAAAAACATTACATTGCATCATTAATGGTCATTAAATCTAATGATCTCTTAGCTAATATCACACCAAACTATGCAAATTATTATTATTGTTATGCTTTTTTCTCAAACTGTTAATATGGTTACACTTTATTTTGATAGTCAACTTTAGACATTCTACTAACTATAAGTAACTTTGCAACTACGTCAACTAATTCTCATTAATTTGCAACTATGTTGTGAGCCCATCAAAATAAAGTGTTAGAAGATATTAAGCATACAGTCTACTAATACACTAATGAATGCTAGTTGACATGTAATTGCAAAGGTACTTACTGTTAGAATGTCTAAAATGGACTATCAAAATAAAGTGTTACTGTTAACATTAACAACATCAGCATTGCATGTCTATATGTATTTAGCAGGAGCGTTGCTAGATGGCTTTGGAGAGATAAGGGACTTAGCCCCAGTAAAAAACAAACAAAAAAACTGCCATATTTTATTTAAAATACATTTATTTCATACTAGGTAAATTTCGAAACCATTAACATATGTATTGACATATCACTGATAGGCCTATACAATTATAATTTAACTTCATTTGGAGTATTTTGTTATTGCACAATGCATATTTCTTAATATTATGCCTAATATGTGTTTTAATATCACTATTATCTCTGTATAATATCGGTCTTTAAATGCAATATATTTAAAGTGTATCTGAAGTATACTTGCAATAGTTTGACTTTAGCACAATCAAATATACTGTACATCTTTAGTTGGACTTTAGCACTATTCCACATAATTATTTACATTAAATCATATTTAAATTAAATTAAATTAAATTGCATTAAGCACAAAATTAGTTGTTTTGATTTAGCAGACTTTAGGTATACCAGTTTAGTATACCAAAATACAATTGCAGGGTATTATTATTAAGCACATAAATATGTAAATGTATTTGTAGAATTCTTAGCACAAAATAAATGTATATGTTCTGGGTGCTGAACCTCACTGACCACATATTTTATGTTTTATCTGAAATTAAAGTAATTTATTTGTTTACAATACATGTGGATAAATGACCAACTACAGCTGCTCGATTCTGGATAAACTGAGAATGGAGAATAACAATTTTATTTTTAAAATAGATATTATTTTTTTCCCACCATGACTCTGAAAAAAAAAACAGACAACTAAACAAAATAACATTTAATTTACTAGAGTTTCAAGTAAAAATTGCTGCAGTCTATTTATAAAATATATTCAGTATTCAACAAACTGTAAAAAAAAAAAAAATAATAATAATAATAAGTTGAACAAATGATTCAATTCACTTGTTTCATTCCTGAATGAATCAATCAAATTTTTTTTTTGAATTAATCTCTTTTTAAGTCACTTTTCTCCTCTCCACCTGCTGGTGTTACGTTGTAATTGATACAATATTAATTTGAAGCATCGTCACTTTCAAAACGGAGATTTATTCTATTTTGATCGCTATATCTGAACTATAAACTTTTATTCCAGTACATTTGTGATTATTTGAATGTTTGTAACAGAAATAGTGATACAAAAGACTGTATAAAGATGTTTTATATACATTGACTGTTCTCTCTGGTCAGCAGCAGTGTGAATGCAGATTTGAATGTTATAGTGTGATTTAAGGGTTTAATAGACATAGCATAGCAGAATCCTGTCATTTATTAAAGGGGTCATATGATGCGATTTTAAGTTTTCGTTTCTCTTTGGAGTGTTACAAGCTGATTGTGCATAGATAAGATCCCTGAAGTTGCAAAGACTTAAGTCTCAAAAGCAAAGAGATATTCTTTATCAAAGTTAAGACTCTGCCATGCCCCCCTAAAACGGCTCGTTCTAACACGCCCCCACATATCTACCTCACTATGTGGAAATATTTGCATAATGCCGCCCAAATGTGCACGCAAAGAAAGAAGGCGTGGTTTCAGTAACCGCAGTTAGTGTTGAAGCAGCCATGTCAGAGAGACGCTGTGTGTTTCTAGGCGAAAGCAAAAGCACTTTATTTGGCCTTCCGAAAGTAGATGCATTTAGAAATCTTTAAGATTACTTACAACAGAACAGCAATGCATTTTATGGACGACCGTTTCGTGAACCTAGCAGAGGAGGTAATTCTGACTTTGCTATGACAATCTGGCGCTTCTGAATCAGCTACTCTTTTGTTATTATTTTAAGTATTTGCTATTGACTGTTAATGTGGAGTTTTGCGCATCGTGTGTGTGTGTGTGCGCGAGCGAGCGAGAGAGAGTTCGGGCTCTGTCTTTACATTTATTTTAAAAGATGAAGCTCACGATTATGGTAAGGGGCATTACATTTCCGACGAGTGCTTGCGGTGTTCGGCCAGTCACAATGCACTGGGTCAGCTGGCCAATCAGAGCAGACTGCGCTTGTCGGAAGGAGGGACTTTGTAGAAAACAAAGCGTTTGAGAGAGGCGGGGCATAGAGGACCTACAATAATGTACAGTATTTGAAAAATAATGTGTTTTTTGAACATTAAAGCATGTCAACATATTCTGTTACACCAAATACATGATAATGACAAATACATGATACATGACAAAATAATGATCTTTAAAAAAGCATCATATGACCCCTTTAACAAGGTTGCGAGAGTGATTGAATCTGTTAGCGATCTGGCTATTTATTTAAATATCCAAAAAATCAAAGGAGGGTTTCAAAGCTTGTTTAGTTAAATGAACACTTATGGTAAGCGGTAATCTGCTTTTCATCATGGACAGTTGTATTTCTAGTATTTGAAGAACAAATAAAAATTTATAAGCCATCTTATTTGTGAAGTGAATGGTCCATCTTCAAAAAGATCAGGGGCTTTTGGCAAAACATCAGGGGCTTAAGCCCCCAAAGCCCCCCTGCCCCCTTGCAACGCCACTGGTATTTAGTGTGTATTAGCGTTACCTGTAGACTACTGGTGACTACGGGTGAATCTCCAGTTGTTAATGATTGCTGTCTGGAAATTTCTGGATTACAGTATGCCATCAAAATGATAAATGGTCATTAAATCTAATGATCGCTTAGCTAATATCACATCAAACTATGCAATTTATTATTATTGTTATACTTTGTTCTCAAACTGTTAATATTAACAACATCAGCATTGTGTGTCTATATGTATTTAGCAGGGGCGTTGCTACGGTTTGGAGAGATAAGGGGTTTAGCCCCAGTAAAAATAAATAAATGAAAAACTCTGCCATAATTTATTTAAAATACATTAATTTTATACTAAAACACCGATTTCATAAGTACTATTCAAATCCATTAACATTATTGCCATCTGGAAATTTTTGTATTACAATACGCCAGGGGTGGCGAACGTCGGTCCTGGAGAGCCGCAGCCCTGCAGAGTTTTGCTTCAACCCTAATCAAACACACCTGAAC